CCCCCGGGGACCTCGTGGACGTCGAAGGATTTGGGGACCCCCCCCCCAAGAAGCTGAACTTCGACCAGGGTACGGCGGGGGGTGGGGGGGGGTCCCCAAAAACCCTAAAAAAATTTTGGGGGGGGGGGTCTCCCCTGGATTTGGGGGGGCCCTGGGACCCCCCCCTTTCCCTCACCCCTCCCCCTTTTTCCAGCAGCCTGAAGTCGGAGCCCCCCCCCCGGACCCCCCAAAATTTCTCCGGGGGAGTCCCCAAAATCCCTTGGAGCCCCCCCCCAAACCCCCCAATTTCTCCCTGAACCCCCAAACTTGGGGGGGTGGGGGGTGTCCCCAAATCCTCCCCAAATTTTGGGACCCCCCCCCTCCTCAATTTTTGGGGTCCCCCCACCCCCTACAATGGGGGGAGGGACCCCTCCTTGTCACCCCCATTAAAATTTTGGGGTGCCCCCCCTTTGTCTCCGTGTCGTGTTTTTCCCCCCCCCCCAATTTTGGGATCCCCCTCCCCAAAATTTGGGGGTTCCCCGTCTCTTTCCCCCGTAGATTTGGGGTCCCCCCCCGGTTTTTGGGGTCCCCCCCACGAGTCGGGTTTGGGTTTGAGCCTTTATTGGGGTCACGCTGAAGAGGGGGGGGGGGGCCCAAATTTTGGGGTCCTGGAGGGTTTGGGGGGGGAATTTTGGGGTGTTTGGGGTTGATTTTGGGGTGTCCGGGGCTGTTTTGGGGTGTCCAGGAGCGGTTTGGGCTTTGAGGGGAATTTTGGGGTGTCTGGAGTGGGTTTTGGGGGTGTCAGAGGGAACTTTCGGGGGGGGGTCTGGGAGGGATTTTTTTGGGGTGTCCCTGGAGGGGGTGACCCCGCTCCTGGTTGACTTCGGAGCTTTGGGGGAAAATCCCGGGGTTTTGGGGTGCTGCGGTGGATTTTGGGGTGCCAGAGGGGGTCTGTGTGGATTTTGGGGTGCCCTGGGTGGATTTTGGGGTTCCCTGGGTGGATTTTGGGGTGCCCTGGGTGGATTTTGGGGTTCCCTGGGTGGATTTTGGGGTGCCCTGGGTGTATTTTGGGGTGCCCTGGGTGGATTTTGGGGTTCCCTGGGTGGGTTTTTTGGGGGTCCCTACGGGGGGACGACCGTGGAACTTCAGGAAAGGATCTCCCGGGATTTCGGCGTTGCCGAGGGGTTTCACGCGGGTTTTGGGGCGCGGTTGGGTTTTGGGGTGTCCCGGGTGAGGTTTTTGGGGTCCCCGGGTGGGATTTTGGGGTCCCCGGGTGGGTTTTGGGGGGTCCTACAGGGGTTGGCAGCGCTCCTGGCGGCTGTA